ACACCCGACGGCAGTAGCAGGCGCTCCTCTCCACCGCTCAGTCACAGACGGGAAAACTAACCAGTGTCACTGTAGAAAGACATGGCTGAAGGATTGAACATTATTATCATTGCTAAATCAGCATCCTTAAATCCACATCTAAAAACTATCTTGGCTTCCAGTCAAGATGGCTGTGTAGGTCAACACAGTGTATCACCCCATAACCACATCAAAATTACAACTGCACTACAGGCAACCAGCGTTCAGAGCCGCCTGAAATCTGCCTGCACAGTGTCCCACAACAAAGGGGTTGAGAAGCCCCATTGAGACTGGCAGAAGGGGTGGGGACACGGAAGGCACTGGCCCCCTACCCATGTGTGGCAGATACAAGTCAGGAAGATCTCAGCTTTGGGGACACACCTAGAGGAGAGAGGGGTCCCAGTCTCACACCGGGTCCCCCAGACTAGGGTCCCTGTGCCAGGAAGACAGCTGGCCACAATTTTGGTTGTAAAAACCAGCAGGGATTGAGGGTGGTGAGGCGAAGGGTTTCTGGAGTCCCAGACATTCCTCTTAAAGGGCCAGCGTGTGATCCTACTCACACTCCCTCCCTCTGAGCCCCAGCCCTGGGGCGACAACTCAAAACACACGAGGGACCTTCAGGGAAGAACTGAACTGTCTGGCACCAGGGCAAGAGCTGACGGTGGGGGCGGCTTTCTCTCAGACAGAAGAGCTGGTGGAGGCCACTGTCCCTTTAATGAGCCCTCTCCCAGCAGAGCTGCCAGGTGTCACCGTATCTGAGTCTCCCCCTCCCTGGCCCCCTCTGTTCACCCCGCTCCGGTGACTCCCTGAAGCCCTGCTTCACCCAACCTGCAGGCCCACGCAAGCCCTTTCCAGTGACCTTTGCCTACACACAGCCTGTCTTGGCTCAGGCTGTGGACTGCCCTGACATTTCTCAGACAAGCCTCATCTGGCCAAGGCACAGCCCATTTCTACTGCTAAGTGGCCCCAGGCGCAGCACTCGCTCAGCCGGCCTTGGTTGGCCGCGTGGCCTCTCCCGGGCACCTGCAAGCCCGGCACAAGGAGCGGCTTTGTGCAGCTCGCTGGGTGACCGAAGTTGGCCTGCACCTCCCAAGAGGCCCCACAGGCAACACACCTGGGGGACAGCGTCTGAGCACAACAAAGCACCGCCCACCACCGCCACAGCAACACACTCAAAGTGCAGACTCTCAGGTGCCAGCGCCTCCACCGTGGTTACAGCCAGTCCTCCCAGCTTATCAGCCTGGGTGTAAATCCTTCCCATTGCCAACAGCAATCATGACTCAACTACAAGAGGGTGCACACAGCCCCCAAGGGGGGCGCACAGCAGAGCCCACATTGGGTGACCAGGGAGGCTGTACCGCGGGAGCTACAGGACACCTACGACACAGGGACACTCGACCAAGACCAGGAGACATAGCAGCTCTACTGAATGCATAGAAACAAACACAAGAAGGCAGCCCAAATGAGGACACACCAAAATGAAAGAACAGAACAAAACTCCAGAAAAAGAACTAAACGAAATGTCGACAAGTCATCTAATAGATGCAGAGTTCAAAACACTGGCTGTAAGGATGCTCAATGAATGAAGGAGAACTTAGGGTAAATATCAACAAAGGTATAGGAAACATAAAAATGGAGAAGGAAAACATAGTGAAAACAGTCATAAATGAAGAATACAATAACTGAAATGAAGATACATTACAGGGAATCAACAGTGGCGTAGATGGAACACAGGATGAAATCAGAGATTCCGAAGATGAAGACGCGGAAGACACCCAATCAGAACAGCAGGGGGGAAAATCCTAAAAAACGAGGATAGCATAAGGAACCTCTGGGACAACTTCAAGGGCACCAACGTTTGCATCATGGGGACACCAGGAATTGAAAAGAGAGAGCAAGGAATTGTAAGCCCGTTTTAAAAAAGTAATTGTGGAAAATGTTCCTAACCTGGTGAAGAAAGTAGACATACAAGTCCAGAGTGCAGAGTCCCAAACCAAATGAATCCCAAAAGGCTGACGCCCAAGGCATGTCATAATTAAAATGCCAAAGATTAAAGAAAAAGAGAGCTTTTAAAAGCACCTAGATAACACCAGTTAGTTCCCTACAACGGAGCTCCCATAAGACTGTCAGCTGATTTCTCAAGGTAAATTTTTCAGGACAAAGGAGATCGGAAAGTAATGAAAAGCAAGGATCTACACCTAGGTTACTCCACCCCAACACTATCATTGAGAATCAAAGTTCAGACAAAGAGCTGCCCATACAAGAAAAAGCTAGAGCTATCCTCTCCAAACCGCTATTACAGGAAATGTTAAAGGGTGTCCTTGAAGAAGAAGAAAAAAAAACGCTGGCTGGTGTGGCTCAGTGGATTGAGTGAGGGCCTGTGAACCAAAGGGCCACAGGTTCCGTTCCCGGTCAGGGTACATGGATGGGTTGTAAGTTGTGGGCCAGGACCCAGTTTTGGGCATGTGAGAGGCAACCACACATGGGTGTTTCTCTCCCTCTCTTCCTCCCTTTCTTCCACTCTCTCTAAAAATAAATAAATAAAATAAAAAGTGACTCATTTAAAAAAGAATAAGAAGAAACAAAAGTAATAAAAGGGCAATAAGTGCATGTCTATAAAACATCACTTTAAATGAAAATGAATTAATTGCTCCAATCAAAAGACATGCGGTTGCTAAATGCTTCGGAAACAAGGCCCTTGCACGTGCCACCTACAGGAGACTCAGACTCAGGTCACATGGAAAGACACACGCAGACCGACGCAGAGAGGCGAGGAAAGGCATTTCATGAAGATGGAAACAGAGGAACAGAAAAAGCTGGGGTAACAATACTTATCCCCGACAAAACAGACTTTAAAACAAAGGCTACGTAACAAGAGACAAAGAAGGACCCAGCAGTTCCATTTGTGGGTGTTTATCTGAAACATCCTACTGCTAAATCAAAAAAAGACAAGACAGTCAGATCCATATGTTCATTGCAACATTATTTATAAAAGCCCAGACACGGGAGCAGCCTGAGTGTCCATCAGTGGATGACGAGATAAAGAAGTGGTGCCTATGTACAACCAAATATGACTGAGCCACACAAAAGAGAGAATGAAATCTTGCCCTTGGCAACAGCATGGATGGCGGTGTTGCGCTGAGTGAAGTCAGTCAGACAGAGAGAGACACGTGCCAGCTGATGGCACTTATACGTGGAATCTAAAGAATAAAGTCATCAAGCAGAACAGAAACAGACTCCCAGACAGAGGGAACAGACTGACGGTTGCCAGATGGGAGAGGGGTTAGGGCGACTGGGTGAACAAGGTGCAGAATTAAGAAGTACAAGTGGTAGTTACAGAAGAGTCACTGGGATGTAAAGTACATCACAAGGAATATAGTCAGTCATATTGTAGTAACTACATAGGGTGTAAGATGGGCACTAGATTTATCAGGGTGGTCACTTTGTAAGTGATAGAAATGTCTAATCACAGAGTTGGACACCTGAAACTAATATGATATGGTACATAAACTGTAATTGAAAAATGAGAAATATTATAGAGAGAAGAGATGTCTTGAATTCCTTATACAAATGGATTAATTTCTTAACTGTGCTTTAATGAAAACGGAAAATTAAAAAATAAAATATCGCCCATGATGACCGGGAAAATGCACCAACACACTGCTGCTGCGTTCCCCAGTGGCATGGCCCAGGAAAATGGCCCGCGTGGGCTGAGCCAGCCTCTGTTTCATGGAGCAGCGTGTCCACTTAAGAGAGTGAGTGACACCGGACCTGTGGTGACTGAGGGTGGGTGACCTGGCGAACACTTTCTCAGAAATGGACGTGAGCTTCTTCCTCAGGAAAAGTCAACTGGCAGTTGACAACTGACAGCACTTGTCTGGATAGAACGGAAGCTCTCAGGGGAAAACCAGGATTTTGGCAAACTTGGGTCTCACCAGTAACCAGACAGCTTCCCAGGGCTGACAGACGTTTGCAGTGGGGGCTGCGGAGACTTTAACAAATGTGATGTTTTGATGATGAGTAATTAATGCATCAACATTGGATGATCTCTATGGCATTACTTTAAAATGATCCTGCATCAGTGCAGGAGCCACTGAAGCAACGTAGCCGAATAGGAAATACTCTATGGCATTGTTTCGGGTTCCCCTTTGCAAAGAGATTTTCAGGAACTACCACTTTCTTGCTATAGTGTCCAATCAAAAAGTAATATCTCCACTTATATGAGAAGGTTTTTAAAAGTCTCCTCCTGCATATTTGTGTGAGGCTGTATATGTTTTCATAACCCACAGCAAAAAAAACAAAAAGATTAAATGCAGAAGCAAAAATGAAAACCCAGCGGTCTCCTAATGATACAGGCAAGACCTGAGACCTGCAAAATGTAAACTGTAAGCAGATCCGCTCTTCTCACCGCCTCGTGTATTTGAGAAACAAGTATTTTTAATAAAAACACTTCCGTTAACATAGGTTGTTAATATTAGTCTAAATGTGTAAAAATGTTAAACTCCTCTATTCCCTGTATGGTACATAGTGCTAGATCCAACATGCACCTACAAAATCACGTTCCAGGTTCTCCTACTTTGTAACACTGTACAGAGAGATGTTCTGCAACCGAAGCGTTGGAGCCGCCGAACGAAGCAGCCCGGGGGCCGGGACGCAGGGGGACAGCGGGACAGAGCTCGGCGCGCAAGCGGACGAGTCGGGGCAGAGTCCCGGGTCCCCAGGCCTGGCCGGAAGCTCTCAGCCCAGCGCGTTATCTGGGGCGGGGGCTCCCGGCGACCGGGTCCGCCGTCTGCCTCGGGGGTTCCCCGCACCTCCCCCGAGTGAGTCCTTCCGCCTTCCTAACGGGGACGCCGTCGCCGCCGCAGTTCTCCCTCCCGTTGGGTGTCAGACTCCGGAGCAGCCAATCAGCGTCGCCGCGCGCTGGGTATAAACCCCTCCGCGGCCCCAGAACGCGTTCTCCCCGGAAGCTCGGGGTCTGGATCATGGGACTCCGAGCCCTGCTCCTGCTGCTCTCGGGGGCCCTGGCCCTGCCCGCGACCTGGGCCGGTGCGTGCGCGGTCGGGAGGGAGCGGTGTCAGCGGGGCAGGAGCGCGGGGGGCGGGGGCCCGGCGGGGGCGCTGGACGCGGGGAAGGCGCGTCTCCAACAGCCCCGGCCCCGACCCCAGACCCCGCCTCCAGCCTCTGCCCCGTCCCTCTCCCTGCACCCCCACTCCCACCACCACCGCCCCCTTTTCTGTCCCCGGGCCCCTGCCCCTACCGGCCCGACCGCAGACCCAGGATGCGCGTCCTCTCCGCCCCAGGTCCCCACACCCTGAGATACATCGGCACCACCATTTCCGGACCGGGCCGAGGAAAGTCCCGGTACATCAGCGTCGTCTACGTGGACGACACTGAGGTCGAGGGGTTCGACAGCGACGCCCCGAACGCGAGGTTGGAGCCGCGGGTGCCGTGGATGAAGCAGCCGTGGGTGGAGCAGGAGATGCCAGGCTATTGGAATCATTGGACAGGAGTTTGCGTGCAACGCTCACAGATGTACACAGGGAACCTGGACAACCTGCGCGGCTACTACAACCAGAGCGAGGACGGTGAGCCGCGCGCGCGATCCGCATCCTCACAGACGGGCCGGGGTCGAGCGTCACCCCGAGGCTGGGAAACCCGGGAGGAGCCCGTGGGTATTTTGATCCGGTTAGATTTTCAGTTTAGGTTAAATGACCGCGGGTCGGGCCTGGGCAGGTGGGAGCCGGGGCGGGGTCAGCTGAGCGGGGCTTACCCAGGGGTGGGGTCAGGGTCTCACACCTTCCAGGAAATGAGGGGCTGCATCGTTGGACCGGATGGGCGCTTCCTCCGCGGGTTCAATAAGTTCGCCTACGACGGCACCGACTACGTCGCCCTGAACGAGGACTTGCGCTCCTGGACCGCGGCCGACAGTGCAGCCCAGGTCACCTGGGGCGACTTGGTGCGGGTCCCTGATGTGGACGTCAGGAGGGCCTACCTGGAGGACACGTGTGTGCGCCGGCTCCACAAATACTTGGAGAAGGGGAAGGAGACACTGCTCCGAGCGGGTACTGGGCATGGGGCTTCCCCGAGGAGGGGTCTGCGGGCTGGGGCATCTCCTACAGGGAGAGGAGGGAAGTGGTCAGTGTCAGAATCCGCCTTCTCTCGGGGGAGGGAAGGGCCCCCAGGTTTCCTTCTTCTGGGCCAGCTGTCTCTAAAGGACAATAAGAAACCCGACCTCTTCCTGAACAACCCAAAGCGGTTCCCTCACACCCTGCAGCCACCTGGTGCCCAGGACGAGCTCCCTGGTTCCTGGGCTGAGCCCGTCTCTGGAGGCCTGACTGCGGCTTTTCTGAGTCTTTAGCCTCTGCCTGAGTCTGTGTCTCCCCTTAGAGACCTGGACACTCCTCTCCTAGGTTCTCACCCTGATTCTGGAACTTTCCAGGAAATAGATTATCCCAGATGGCTCTGTCCAGGCTGGTGTCTGGGTGGTACACTCCCTTCCCCACCCCCTCTGTCCTGTCCACTCTCAGGGTGCCACATGAGCGCTGCTGGAGTGTCCCCTGACCATGCAAAGTTCCTGAATGTGCTCACCCTCCCCTCAGACCCTCCAAAAGCACACATAACCCATCACCCCACCTCTGACCGTGAGGTCACCCTGAGGTGCCGGACCCGGGGCTTCTACCCCGCGGACATCAGCCTGACCTGGCAGCGTGACGGGGAGGACCTGACCCAGGACACGGAGACTGTGGACACCAGGCCTGCGGGGGACGGGACCTTCCAGAAGTGGGCGGCCGTGGCCGTGCCCCCCGGACAGGAGCAGAGCTACACGTGCCACGTGGGGCACGCGGGGCTGCCCGAGCCCCTGACCCTGCGATGGGGTGAGGGGGGGGCGTGGGCACAGAGCCTCTCCTCAGGGCGTCCCTGCGCGGGGTCAGGACTCGGGCCTGAGGGTGGCCTCTCACTTTTTCCTCGTAGATCCCCCTCCTCGGACCACCGTCCCCATCGTGAGCATCGCTGCTGCCGCCCTGTGTCTCCTTGTTGCTGCCGTCGCTGTGGCTGTGACGTGGAGGAGGAAGCGCTCAGGTGGGCAGGGGTGGGGCCGAGGTCCCTGTCCCCCTGGGGGTCAGGCCCAGGTGACCGTGTGCTCCGCCTCGTGAGTGGGCATCGTACCCACACGGGTGCTGCCCGTCGGGGGCCTGTTTGCCAACACTGACCCTTCAGTGAGGCCCGTGGGAAAATGAGGGACAAACTCATCACCTGATGACTCTAGCGATGGGGACGGATTCCCAGCTGTCACAGGTCAGAGGGGAAGGTCCCTGCTGAGGGCAGATGTACAGAGAGGCGGTTGATCCGGACCCCGCACATGTACTGTCCCTGTGTTTCCTGATCCCACCCTGGGTGTTGAGTCACAGTTCTGGAACCTTCCCTGTCATCAGGAGTGTGGGGCTCCTTTAGGGTCATGGGACCCAGCCTCCCCCCAACTCCTCACAGAGCATTTTCCTCCCACAGGCAGAGGCAGGCAGAAGAAACCTCAGGCTGCCTGTCAGTCTGGGTGTTGGGAGGGGACGTCTGGGACCCTGGGGAGCGTGTGGGTTGGAGTCTAGGAGGGGGCTCCCCACCCCGTGACTCCTCTGCTGTGTCCTTCCCCAGGAGGCGACAGTGCCCAGCCATCTGAGGTCCCTCTCACAGCTGCTGACGGTGAGACCCTGAGGGCAGGTCGTGGGGGCACTGGGCCCGAGGGGCACCGCTGGGTTTTGGGGAGTCTCAGAGTGGGACGTGCTGAGCGTGCGGTGTCTGTGGGGGACTGTGACACTTCTGAGTCTGACCTGAATTGTTCATTGTCGCTCTCTTTCCCAGCGTGACCGAGCTGCTTTCTTCGGCACTTTGTGCTGAAATACGTATTGCAGCCTCCCCCGGGCCTTTAAGGGTCCCCGACGGCTCTCTCTGCACCCGGCACCTGAGCGTGTCTGCGTCCTTGTCAGCGTCAGTGAGGAGCTGGTCCCCAGACCGCCCTCCCCACGGGTCCTGCATCCTGTCCTCGGGGGCCTGTCCTGTCCCAGCCGAGGGCAGTGAGCCCGTCCCCGTCACGGTTGTGCCTTTCTCTTCCACTGAGGGGAAGTGTCCTGATTCCCTGTGAGAAACCACAATCTGGGCATGAATTCGTTTCTCAAATTCTTGCCCTAAAAGGTCAGTGGGTTGAAAGAAGCGGATTCCTACAATTCAAGAGAGGAGATAAATGACGGAGAACTTTCCCACCCCCTCCCTTTCCCTTTTACAAGACTTTAGGTACTTACTTTCAGATAGCCGGGAGGGGAAAGGGAAAGGGAGAGGGAGAAACACTGATGTGTAAGAAAAGCATCTACGGGTGCCCTCCTGCGGGCCCCCTTCCTGGGACCTGGCCCACAGCCCAGGGAAGTGCTCTGACCCGGAACCGAACCAGCCACCCTGTGGTGTGCAGGCTACTGGGCGATGCACGGAGCCATGCCCGCCAGGGCCCAACCTGTTTCCCTGATCTCTTTGTTCTATTTCCCTCTCCTTCCTTGTAAAAACCCCCGCCTCCACCGAGGGGTTTTTGAGATGTGAGTCCCGCGCCTTCCAGACGGCGGGCAGCTGAACAGGAACCGCTTTCTTTTGCCTCGGCAGCTGCCTCTGGCGTTGGCTCTCTCGGCCGCGGGCAGCAGGACCCGCTTCCGGCTGCGCGTCCGCCTGGGCTCAGGCCGACCTGGCCCGCAGCCCCTGTTTTGTGAGTGTTTGCTGTTTCTTTGTTTTTGCAGATCCTGTACCTATTCTTGCTTTTTAAAAATAAAATTATTGGGGTGTGTCTTATTAAATGTATTGAGGTGGCCTCGGTTGATAGGACCATAGAGGTGTCAGGCGTGCATGCCTAGCACACAGGATCTGGGTGCTGCTCTGTGCGTCCGCCACCCAGAGTCAAGCCGCCTTCGGTCACCGTGTGCCCGGCCCCTTCCACCCCCAACTCTCACCGCCTTCCACGTCCGAGCCGCCCCATGCCGTCCGCGTCCACGAGTCTCAGTTTTATGTCCCACGTGTGAGGGAAATCGTGCGGCTCTTAGCTTTTCCCGACCGACTTTGCCCTGCATGATATTCTCCAGGTCCGTCCATGTTGTTGCCAAAGGCGGTGTTTTGTCTTTTCTATGGCTGAGTAGTTTTTGGTGTGAGTGTTCGTCTCACTCACCACTGGGGGTGCCCCATGGGGCAGCGGCAGGAGCCACTTTCCCTGTCATTGTGCCCACAAGGCCCAGGGTGGCCCCTGCGAACAGGAACGTCCGGCATCGAGGGATGAACGCTGAGTCTGACACAGCTCTTGCCTCGCTAAGGCTGGATGGTTCGGTCCGTCTTCTTCCCACCTGCTCATAGGAACTAGATTCTGCAATTAGCCGGGAGCAGGGGTGCCATAGTATCTCAAGTTAAATATGTCCCTTCCTGCGGGAACCCTGCTCTGCTCGGACACCGTTTCCCCGGCCTCCGCTCCGGTGCGGGCTCCGCTGCGGGCTCTGCCGCTGACGCGGGTCTCACGGGGCGGGGGCGCTGTGGGTCTCGGGCGCAGCCCCGTGGGGGTGCGGGCGCATCGGTGGCCGCGTGAGGGCCCCCTGTGCTGCCGCTGCCCCGGCACAGCCGGGGGCGAGGCCCCATCAAGCAGGACACCATCCCTACAATAAGGAGGGGTCCTACAGTGATGAGTCGTCCACCAGGGTGTTTTTTGAACACTGGGTAAGTGACACCCCCTTTTTACATCTAGAATGCAGACATACCGTGGAGATATTTCAGGCTCTGTTCCAGACCGCTGCCGTACAGCCAGTGTCGTCAGAAAGTGAGTCGCACAAATTTTTTTGTCTCCCTGTGCATATAAAACTTAGGCTTAGGCTGTGCTGGCGTCTGCTAAGTGTTCAGTAGTATGTCTAAAGAGTAGTGTATACACTTTCATTAAAATATATCTTATTGTTAATAAAAATGCAATCCTCTGAGCCTTTAGTGAGCTGTAAGATTTTTGCTAGTGGAAAATCTTACCTTCAACTAAAACAAACAGAGCCCTGGCCAGGCAGCTCCGTTGGTCGGAGCGACGCTGTGTACCCCAGAAGCTGCGGGTGCGACCCCTGGCCAGGCCCTGTACACAGGGCAGCCGGTCGACGTTTCTTTTACATTGATGTTCTCTTTCTCTCTCTAAAATCAGTAAAAAAAAAAAAAAAAAAAAAAAAAAAATTATCTGGTGAGGATTAAAATAAGCACAACAATATCTGTGAGGTGCTATAAAATACAATAAGCCTGTGCATTGCAGGGCAAAGAACAGGCCAAACGGCCCGCAGTACAGAGCACACATTGTGTTGCAAAGGGACACATTGTATCCTGCGAGCACAGCCAATAAGGACACTTTCCGTGAGAAGGCGGGAGGTGATGGGCAGAAGGGCGCGCTGGGGTGCGTCGGGAGGGGAGGGGCCTGTTAGAATTGGGGGGGCACGGGAAGGTGACCACGGAGGAAAGAGGAGAGGACACGAGCGATTGCCCAGGAGGACGTCTGCGGCAGGTCCCTCCCAGGCAGGGCCCTCCCGTGCGGACGCCTGGGGAGGAGCCTGTGTGGGCGGCTTGGGAACAGCCGGGAGGCCCCCCTGGCTGCAGCAGGGTCGTTGGGAGGTCAGATCCTGGCCACGTCCTGCAGGTCTGGGGGGTGGCGCGCTGTAAGGCTGTGACTTAAAGAGGGACAGTGATGAGCAAAGAGAGAGATGGGGTGGCTTTGCTTTTACTTATATATTTTTTTGTTACAGAAAGACTTATTCTGAAATTAGTTGTATGTATGCGTACACGTGCGCGCGCGCTTGTGTGTGTGTCTATGTCAGAACTGATTTAGATTAAAAGCCCCAAGGGGTATTGTTCTGGTGGGTTTTGTTCTATCTAACCCTTCACCCACTTGTTAAGCGGTCCTACGTCACTTTAAGTTCCTGAAGCTACAATGAGGTGGGGGTCCAACCCGGGGGAGACAGAGCACGTGCCACCGGACAAGGGGACCCCACGGCTCCCCAGCGATGTTCCCTGAGACCATCTGACCTCCATGTGCAGTTCAGGGTTTCTTCCCGCACATCCGAATGTGACCTTTTGGAGCCTCAGGCTGTGGCTGGGTTTGTCCCCTGATTCTAACCAGGTGCCGCTTGGTGGCCCAGGAGTCCCCCGAGCTTCCAGACCCCCCGCCTGCAGCCCTCAGGGGTGTCCCTGTGGGGCTCAGAGCGCCGACCCCTCTGAGGGTGGGGACACCTGCCTACAGCAGGAGCTGCTCCGGCGCCCACTGTCCTCAACCCCCCGCAGACCCTGTCCTCAGTCTGCGGGTGCCGAGCCCTGGGAGGTCCTGGCCAAGGCGCCGATGTCCTTTAGCGGCTTCCCCTGAGGGGCCCTCCCCAGGAGAGAGGTGCTCGGCCCTGGGCTTCTACCCCGCGGACATCACCCTGACCTGGCAGCGTGACGGGGAGGACCTGATGCAGGACACGGAGACTGTGGACACCAGGCCTGCGGGGGACGGGACCTTCCAGACGTGGGCGGCCGTGGCCGTGCCCCCTGGACAGGAGCAGAGCTACACGTGCCGCGTGGGGCACGCGGGGCTGCCCGAGCCCCTGACCCTGCGATGGGGTGAGCGGGGGGCGTGGGCACAGAGCCTCTCCTCAGGGCGTCCCTGAGCGGGGTCAGGACTCGGGCCTGAGGGTGGCCTCTCGCCTGCCCTCGTAGACCCCCCTCCTGGGACCACCGTCCCCATCGAGTGCATCACTGCTGCTGCCCTGGGTCTCCTTGTTGCTGCGGTCGCTGTGGCTGTGACGTGGAGGAGGACGCGCTCAGGTGGGCAGGGGTGGGGCCGAGGTCCCTGTCCCCCTGGGGGTCAGGCCCAGGTGGCCGTGTGCTCCGCCTCGTGAGTGGCCATCGTACCCACACGGGTGCTGCCCATCGGGGGCCTGTTTGCCAACACTGACCCTTCAGTGAGGCCCGTGGGAAAGTGAAGGACAAATTTGTCACCTGAGAACTCTAGCTAAGGGGACAGATTCCCAGCTGTCACAGGTCAGAGGGGAAGGTCACTGCTGAGCACAGATGGCCTTTGGTCTAGTCCCTCTTCACATACTTTCTCGTATTTCCTGATCCTACCTTGAATGTTTAGTCACAGTTCTGGAACCTTCCCTGGGCTTCAGGAGTGTGGGCCTCCTTTACGGTGATGGGACCCAGCCTCCCCCCTGACTCCTCACAGAGCCTTTGCTTCCCACAGGCAGAGGCGGGGAGAGCCGCGCTCAGGCTGCCTGTTTGTCTGGGTGTTGGGAGGGGACGTCTGGGACCCTGGGGAGCGTGTGGGCTGGAGTCTAGGAGGGGACTCCCCACCCCGTGACTCCTCTGCTGTGTCCTTCCCCAGGCGGCGACAGTGCCCAAGGCTCTGATGTGTGTCTCACAGCTGCTGAGGGTGAGACCCTGAGGGCAGGAAGTGGGGGCACTGGGCCCGAGGGGTCAGCTGGGTTTTGGGGATCCGCAGAGTGGGACGGTCTGAGCCTGCGGTGGCTGTGGGGAATGTGACACTTCTGAGTCTGACCTGAATTTGTTCATGACAACTCCCTTTCCCAGC